CGACTTCTAATAAACCTATTCAGTTAAAATTTGGTAATTGACTTAAGTTTACAATTCTGTTTAAATTCATTCTAGCACTTGAATATTGGTAAATATTTTTTAATTTTCTCACCTAAACACATTTTTTTAATAAAAAATTAAAAATTAAGTTCTTTTTACTTTAAAAACATTAATAATTTTCCAATTTCCTTGAGCCAGTATGGTTTTATGAAAGCTTAAAAGAATACCCAATTAAAGTTGTTTCAAGTCATTAGCTTGATATTTATAACTTTTATTGTGTGCGTAAGACGTAGCCTCTTTTTTTTTCTTCAAATTTTAGCTTTGGATATATAAATTGCAAAAGTTCATTCGTAGTATTTTTAAAAAAGTGCTTGTATTTAAATTATGTCTTGGCTTATGTTAAACTCAATCAAACAAATGAATTTTTGATAATTTATAAAATACGTTCGGAAAATGTACACTGTAAAAAATTCCGGATAATATTAGGGTATAAAGTACCGGCACATTGAGGACATCATCCATAAAGCAACTTTCATTATAAAATTCCGTGAAACTTACCGTAAAATATTATTCCGTAATTTTAACAGTAATATTTATTTAATTAGATTGATTCAGTGATTTTACAGTTACTGTAAAAATCACGGTATATCAGATTTTTTGTTTCGTAACATGTTCTGGTAAAAATGGATCTGACTATAAAAAGTACCGACATTTTGAGTGTCGGTACTTTTTGCCGCAATTTGATCAGGAGTTTTTTTACAGTACACCTTAATGCTTCCTTGATAGAATCAAAATCACCTAGACTCCTTAAATTACAATAATTATATACTTACAGCTAATGCAGCGTGAAGCGTACTCGAATAATTTGATTTTGCTGTTTGCTATTTCGGTTTACTGGTAAACCTTAACGTATCTTGCGTTCTTTTACAACATGATAATAGCTAGAATCTAATATCAATGCTACAGAAAGATCATCTGATAAAATAATAAAAAAGCGTCAAATAACTACTTCTAAACCTGAAGAAGTTTTTAGCTATAAATGTAAGCGGAAATTTCAAAATAAAGGCAAGTTACAGTAAGCATGAGTCGAAAGCAAATTAAAGAAAGAAAGTACAAGTCTATATATTTAAAAGACTATCAAATGATTTAAACTTTATTAATAACCTTAGTTAGTTCCCTTCAAATAGTAACTTAACATATTTGCAGCTGCTTTGTTTATGGAAAATAATATTACGTGAATTACTTGTCCTATGATAATTCATGAATCTGTCATCATTTCATTAGATATTTATTTTAAGAGATTTAAAAATATTGATCACTGAAAGTTGTAATTACTGATACTTCTCATCAGGATTAAAATTAACGAAGAAAAAAAGACAAAAGTAATAGTGAAGTCAATTGAAATCCGATACAGTTTCAACATACACAACTTCAACATTTAAAACCTTCATCAGTTTTTAACTTCCTTAAATATCTATACAGAACAAAGATGCTTGTCACGTAAGAAAAGACCTTTTAAACAATGTATCACAAGCCCAACCTATGTATTTGAAATACCAAAGTTGAAGCTCAGTCACATCTCGATATTCGTTTTCGAATAAATCGAGCAATTTTCTTTATTTTCTTCAATTCTACATCGAGAAAAAAAAAGTAGAGTCGAAACTACCTGTGGTAAAATTTACCGTGTTTCTTGCTCTAAGGGAACAGTAAAGTTCGGTAACTTTTACAGAAGTGCTTTAATGATTTTGGTAAAATTAACAATAAAATGTGATTTTATAATGTGATAAAATTTTAAAAATGTGATAAAATTTAGTAATTTTATTACGATACCTTAAGACATGGCATAAAACCCTTTATTCGGTATTTACTTTTCAGTTTTGCATTTTTTACTAAATGTGTGGTAAGAAGAACTTTAATTTTGAAAACCAGAAAACTTTTTAAGTTGTTATCATAAAATTTCAAGAGGAATAGTTAAAACACCGAGTATTTTCGTTTTATTAACTAGAATTATGTTTCTTTTCTCATTTTTTTAAATACAGAAATGTCATTACCATACACTGAAGTAAATTTATCAGAATTTTTTTCCCGTGTAAATAAACTCCGAATTATTCATCCAGAGTTTGAATACTTTTTTTACAAGAGAAAAATTGACACATTATTACTTCTTATGATTTTTATATTTAGTTTTTACTGTCAAATCTTTTCACAAAATAACCCACTATTAGAGAAAAGTGAATAAGCATTTGGAAAGGAAACACAAAACAGACATTAAGTTTTACGAATCAATACTGAAGAAAAAGACGATATTAAAAACATCAAACCTAATTCATTACCGTCAAAAATTGAGAGCAAGAGAGATGAGGTTACAAGTAACTATTAGAAACACCTTAAAATTTTTTTCAGTAATCAAACTGGTTTTCATTATACAAAATTCTTAAAATGTGATCCAATACCTAAAAATAAAATGGAAGTGAAACCTTTTTATTCAATTTTATTAAACACTGTATTTTTTAGTTGAGATTTAAATGAGTTGAAAAATATTTCGGGACCATATCATATTTAATTCTGTTTAAATTATATTTTTATTCCACGTGTCTTGAATCATGGAAATGTGCGAAAATGTTTGATTTACAATTCAAATACGATTAGCTTTAATATTTTGAATGTTAAATATAATAATTTATTAAAATATGAATCAAAATATATCATATATATCATAGTGTGTTATAGAAATAGAAAAAGCCACCTGTTTATTTATAATTCATAGTTTTTTTAACTGTGCATTTTAAAATAGAATAAATTTAAAATTATATAACTTATTCTAATTTTGAAAACATTTTTGCAAAGTAATTTAGATTTTTCCAGCCTTCAATTTGATTTACTCTTAATTTGTTCAAAGCTATGTTCTTTCTTCTGAATATTTAAGTTTGTTTCTAAATCAAAATGTGTTTCTAATAAAATTAAATAAGAATAAAAGTTTTATTACTATTAAATTTACTGTGAAATTTTGCTTATTACTGTTTAATACTTTAATGAAATCTAATTTGGAATAGAAAAAAAAATAACTGAACTATGAAACTTTACAGATTTCTCCAATTTTGATTCTAAATGATTATTCAATAGAATAAAACTAAAATAACGAAATATTTAAGTTTGTGCTTTTAATGCAAAATATTCACATTGATCAATATATGAACCTAAATCAAATGATTATGAAGAGTAATTAAAAGTGAAAATTATTTTACTATTAAATCTGTATTATAAAAAGAAATACAACTCTCACGCTTATTACTTGGACAGGAATAGAATTATATATATATATATATGATTTTACAGT